AAATTATAAGCTGAAAACAGCACACATCATTCCTTAAAAGCTGTCTAAATGTCATTCAGAATTAGTATTTTTGTTATCATTTTGACAATTAGGATTTGACCATCTTTATATAATACATGCAATCATCATAAATAAAAGCATGATTCTAAGGTTGATATTTTTAGTTCCATTAATAACAATGAACACAAGAAGCAAGAAATTTTAACAAATGAGGTTGAAATTTGAAAAACAGAGTTGTTATGTAAGGAATGTTAGAAGACATGAATAAACCTGAGGTTTAAATTTTATCCTGCAGGTAAAGTTTCAAAACTTTCCAAATTGTATGACACATTGATCTTACCTCAAAACTAAAACAATTTAGGCATTTATAAAATTATTTAGGACTTTCTAAAATGAATCAATTCTATGCTATAACTATTCCCCACACCTAGACACTATATTGGGTATTAGTTGTTGAAAGGGGTGAGATAAGATCCAATATTACCATATTTTTCGGACCATAAGACGCACTTTCCCCCCCCCAGAAGTGGGGGGGGAAAGTCTCTGCGTCTTATGGTCCAAATATAGCCTACACATATACTTTAAAAAAAAAGTTTTTTTACTTGCCCGGCTCTGTGTGGTCTCTGTGTGCTTGCCCGGCTCTAAACTGGTTCTAAATGCTGCTGTTTACTTTACAGGGTTGATTACATGTGTTTATGACTGTGATGTTGGGTTTTAATGCACATAAAATATTTTAGGACACTATTTGTTTCAGAATCTTTTTTTCTTCATTTCCCTTCTCTAAAAACTGGTGTGTCTTATGGTCCGGTGCGTCTTATGGTCCGAAAAATACGGTAATTTGATTGCCCATAAAAATCTGAGAATATGGTTTGAGGAGGCTGAAGGAAAACTGAGTGCTAAGTTAGGAGAGGAGCGAAATAAGAGGCCAAAGACATTCAAGTAAGAGTAGCTGTAATCTTGTCTTTGAAGATGGATATATCTCAGTGTTTGAGGACACCCCATAACACCATCACAGTGTAAAACATATGTGGGATTTATGAATGAGAAGCATTGCTTTAAGTGAGTAATCATTACTCAAGATCCTATTTTGATCATAAATCATAACTGTTAGACCTTTTCATGGTGGGCTACTAGAGCTTTTATCTCAGAGTATTGGCTGTTCAAGTTGGCTACACAGATTGGTTGAAACTCACTACTCTATTTTCTAGCTGTATGATTATGAGTAGTTTACATAGGCAATCTGAATCGCAGCTTTCTCATGGGTAAAAAACAAACAAACAAACAAACAAACAAAAACACAGCATTAATAATGGTATTACCACAAAAGGTTATTGTGACAATTAAACCACTAAACCATGAATGGTTCTCTGAACCATGTCTAGCAGATAGTAGGCATATAAACAATGTCTGCTCTTTTTTTGTAACATACAATATTCATAAGATTAAATTTGATGAAGCAGAGAAGCAGTTTAAAGCACCAGCTCCAGTGATGCTCTTTCAACTTTGAAAATTTCTAAGATATCTTTGACTTTAGAGCTCTTAAATATGCTGTTACTTCTGCATAGGATACTCCTTTATACTCCTTTTTTACATTATTTCCTTCTTTACCTTATTAATTCCTTCCCAAACTTCCAGTCTCAGATGTCTATTCTCTCATAATAAACTCTAAACTGACTTTTCCTTTTACAGGAACATCCTGTAAAAGGCATCCTTCCATTTTATTTCTCTTATATCCTATTCACAAGGGGTGTGTGTGTGTGTGTGTGTGTGTGCGTACTTCTTTCTGTAATCCATACCATTTTCTAAGGTCAATCAGAAAAAAGACCATGTCTATTTGTTAGTCAATCAAATGTAGCTTTTACTATAATGCCTGATATATCATCATTATTCAATATATATGTGTTAAAGTAATGAATAAATACAAATGCAAATAAAAACATGAATAGATTCATGAGGAATTGAGCTGATTATTACTGACACACTGATAATGCTTATTCTGAAAACCTCACTGGTTTTTTTAAAGACACATTAAATGTATTGAACAAGAAGGATAAATAAACTTCTCTTTGTGGACATGCCATTATTCATAATAGCTGGACTCTCCCCTGAGATTTTCCAAGAGAGAAAAGAGCAAAATAACCACAACATAAATCAAATGATCACCGCATCATTATAAATAGCAATTAAATACCACTAAATTACATCAAGTATAACACTCACATAAATAGAGTAAAAACCACTTCAAATCTATAATTTCTGAAGTGAGGATACTTTGTGATCAGAAAATTTTGAATTTATCTAAAATTTTATATAAAAATAAATAAATTGTCTTTTATTTTAATAAATACCAGAATCTCTTAGAAACCAGTTAATGACATAGTCTAAAGTATAAATAATCTATTTATTAAAATGTAAGCTCAGCATATGTTTCACAGATGATATTACATCTTAGTTGAACAAAGTAATGATCAGAACAGTTCTCAATCATTGTTATAGTTCAGAATTACCTGTGGAAGTTATTTAAAAAAAGATGTCTAAAGCCTAGAAATACTATTTTTTTAAAAATATGAGTGAGTTTTAAGGAGCATTATCTTTTTAACAGCTTTATGCCTGACTTTGATATGAATCTAATGCTAAATAGAACTTGTTTATTGATAGGCAAAACTTATTTATTGTTAGAGAAAGTCTGGAAAATCCTTATAAAACAATCCTCAGTAATTAAGCAAGATTGAGAAATTATATGGCTACTTCAATCACATGCTTTGTTTGCACAAGAAGTTTGCAATTACCTGAACACTAAATATAGTCATTTGGAAGTTACTCAGCTCCTCTAATCTTCCTTTTAGTTAAATATCGTTTACTTAATTGAATTTGACAAAAATTTTTGAGTGCTGACTGTGCCCTAGGCTCTTTCTCTGACACTGCTATATTTAAAAAGTGTAAAATTTGATCATTGGCCTTGTACATATTCATGTTAAAAGACAGATTTTTTTAAAAGTAAAAAAGCATGTAAGTGCCATGATAGAGTGTTATGATTCATAAGATGTATGTATCATATAAACTACTCTCCACCCCACATAAACATATACATATGCATAGGCTAATGTAGAGATCATGTAGTTTCATGGAGTCTGTGTCATTTGAGATTGATTTGGAAGGATGAATATGAACAAATATTTGGAGCCATCAAATAAGTGAAATATATGAAAGTTTGACTGGATTATAGAGAAGAAAAAAGAGTATGGGGTTGATTGCTGAAGACCATGGATGACCCCTGCACAGAACTCTTTACAGCCATTGTAGAAGCACATATGGTATCTAAACAGGACATGCAGTTAAGGAATGCACAGTAATGTCTAAGAAGAATATTAAAGATATGAAATAATTTAAAAATAGTGTAATATTAATTCTAAATAATACAAAATACTGATAAGAACTATAGTATCAGAAATGGAGAGAAACAGACTGCAGATGAAAGGAAGAGAATTAATACAATCATAGTGGCAGCCTAAATGGTTCCTCCGGTTCCATTAAAATACAGGGATCCTGGGTGGCAGTAATGGGGAATGAGGACAGAAAGTGAAAGAAGACAAGGCTGTCCAAGGCTTTGAACACAAGGGTCAAAATGTTGGGACTCTTTTAAAGGTTCATATGAATATACTAAAGATTTGTAGGCAAGAAAGCGGGAAAATTACAGAATTAGATTTTAAGGTGGAGAATAGGTACATTGGGAAGGGGAAGACCAGAGCAAAAGGGGTACTACATGGTTACTGCACTAGTTCTAGCAGGAGGTAACGAGGTCCAGGACATTCTGGCAGAAAAAGGGACATGGTGCCATCCTGTAAGAATGTTCCTACTGAAGAACAGGGCTGATGAACTGCTGGGGTGAAAGATATCTTTGAAAAGAGAGGGAGACATAAAGTTAAGGAAAAGATAACGGAGGAAGCTTGAATATAATAATCACGGAGCAAGTATTCACTAAGGTTCTTAGTCTGAAAAGGATTTTAAAAACCTGATAGATTTCTATCACTGTCGTTTCATGATTAGCAGTTTTGCTTCATTATCAAGAGTCCTTAACCCAAACTATTTTATCGTAACATGCCTAGAGATCTGCTACTAAAAGACAAGATTATAAATTCCTTCTGGCTTGATTTCCCACCATAAATCAAATTTAGGGAATATATAAATGCTACAAGTATGTAGTAGTTTGTTCTGGATATTAATCTCACATTCTTAATGAGACATATAAGCACTAGCACTGATAAGCATACTCTGTAGGTAAAATTAAATAATATAAGAGCTCTTTGCTCATTCTAAAATTAAATTTCCCATTTGCAAAAGGCACACTAGACATAAGTGAACATCACTGTGCAATCTAATAGAAATATATCATTACAAGAGTGCAAAAATATCTAGCTTATCAGTATTAATTGAATTCTTTTGGTGGTAAAAAATATCTGTGGCTTAAAAAAAACACTTGTCATTTGATTTCATTAGGGAGATTGGTAAGGCAAAAGTGATTATTCAGGTTAAAAACAATTAAATTGAAAGCAAGGGTAAAATTATTATAGAAAAATTCTAAAAATAAATGACATGTCTTCTGAAACCTATTTGCAGGAAATGAAACCAAAAGCAAAATTCACATGCATCTTCTCACATAACTATATTTGTACAGCTGCATGTCTATATATTTTTAAACCTTCACATTGTCAGTTATTCAATAGTAACTAATTTTGTGGAAAAGTAAAGATTTCCAGTAATATATGAAGTAAGTAATCAATCTGACCAGCCCAAACATGAATATAATGTACATCACTGAAGACTAACAAGATAAAACTGCGACTAGGTTAACATCGACTCATCTGCTGGACAGTAATTGCTAAATAACTGCAAAATACATTACATTCTGTTCATTAACGCTCCAATTATAATGTCCCTTTCTATCTATTTCCATGTTTATCCACGTTTTGTCTTAAAAGAATGGGAAAATAAACACTTACCAAAATGGTGGTGACGATCAAAGAACGGTTAGATAAGGAATCTGTGATGTTGGCTGGCTTTCCCTTTTGACTTTCTGTCATATTCAGGCCACTGGCTGGGTCCCAAGTTCCAATCTATAAAACAGCATATGTACTTCGTAAGTTGTCCATCGGACATATAGGAGAGAGTACTGTCAGAGAGAGTTAAGACTTCTCACACTTATCATTCACCTCTGCTGGATTATCTGCCGTCATTAAAGCAAAGGCTGCTTGTTTTACACATGATTCACTGCTCTGGGAAGCATGTCCAGTGAAGTGTGACATTAAAGAACAAAATGATCCACTGAACTTCCACAGTAGGTGTGGGAGCTTAATTTTCCATTCAAATGTTCATTCACCAAGATAAACCACATTTGATGATACCTTGATAGCTGGCCAGAAACTCATTAATGGTAATATCTTTTACTGAAATGGATCTGTCTTGGCCTCTCATTATAAAGATAACACAGCACATTAGGACATGAACAAAGCTAAAAGACAGAGCAAAACCTAGGGATTCTGGATAAATTAATCGGTGAAGGCAGGTCTGAGAGAGGCATTGAATGGTATTCTGCATAACACCCAGTAAGGCAAAATAATATGCAGAATTCCCTTCGGAGCTTTAAAAAATATACCTTTGCAATTTTAAAATACTCAGACGAAAGGATATTGCATTACAGTCTCATCCAGTTAACCCATTCCAGTCGTCCCACCTGTATTCCATTTGATTGTATTTAATTTAACTAATACTCTGTGCTAGATTAGGGTAGACATTTTCATCCAGTGGGCCACAAGAATTTTGGAAACATTCCTGATGATCTATCAGAAACACTGACCTTTTATCCCTTAGATTAGGCATCAGGTGTGAATGAATCAAAATTATACCTAGTTTTTGTCAGATTGGCCAGAAGTACATGTCTTGGTGTGCCCCAGAATTGTAGTAATTAGTTTATGTGTGCTGGGAGATGAAAAAGCTTGAAAATTGGATGAGGGCATGTACTCTCAGTGGTCAGACACTTTATAAGCACAGGATGCCATAAATACATAGTTCGGATCCATAGTTTGCATACACTTCACCATTGCACCATCATATAATAATGGTCATCACGAAAGGAGAACAGAGGCATAAAGAAATAAGGAGTAATATTTTTTGAACCCTCTTAAACCTGGGAGTCATCAGTAGTCACTGTATTTGTAATGATATTAACATAACAGGTAATATTTCCCCTAATGTGGTAGCAAGAGTCTCATCAGCATAACCCTATCCAAATTAAATATTATGATCCTTTTATTTTCTTTATTTGTCATTATATTTTCTCTTTTGGGCCCCTTTTAATTTCCATCACTTTCCTAGTAACCTTTTAAGATGTTTAGTAATCTCTAAAGAAAAGCTCAAAAGTGGAAATATTAGTAATTTCTGTTCTACGTAAGAATAGGGATGTCACTCTAATACTTGCGTATAGGTGCAAACCCTAGTACATTTTTCAAGAATGTATTTAACTATTCTAGTGACTCAAAAAAATTCTTTAGTGATGGCTAAAGAAATATCTCTTGCCATATATATTCATTGCAGTTAGTTTTCTTCTTACTATGAAAAAACTACATATTTCTGAAGTTTGCGTGGAGAAATGGAAAAGTCAAATAACACAGTGAGAAAAAAATATCTTGATTCAGTATTTTTTCCAAAGTAAAGTACCCTTGGGCCAATTAAATTATTTAATCCAGACTATAAGTATCATGTCATACAGACATTGAGGGTCTGCAATGAAAGGCAGTCAGGTAACATTGACATTGATGTGGAAGGGCATAAGCCAATAGCAAGAATGTCAAAGAGGAGGATGTGTGGTTTCAAATTTCAAAAAATCTCAAGGCAGAACAGCAAGTAGGGGCCACATTCTGACCCTGCTCTGCTCACAGAGCTGTGTGCCTTGGGGAAGCATGTTCCCAGAGCAGGTGCTTTTTCAGGTTCCCAGCAAGAGCTAGGAGAGGGCCTGCTGGGAACTTGGGTGAGGAAGGAAAGCCAGGATGTAAAACACGGAACGCCTGCTGATCTGCTTAAACTGCTTCAAATTCAAAATCATTAAAAACACTCTGTTGGCTAAACAAGACATCTGCAGATCCTATTTTGCAGTGACTGCCACTTTTCTGTCCCTAGTTTGTAGTTAATACCTATTACGCAAATGCCACTTCTTTGGAATTCCGCCCCTCCTCCCTCCCCCCACCACCACAACTACTGGCTTAATAATCAAAATTTTCATAGGTGTAATTCTATCAGCTCAAACACTGGCAAACATACGTTGTCTGCTAAGGTCTGCCTTACAACACTCTTAAGCTCAATCAATAAGTTTTTCAAATTTCTAACCAAATCACTAATACAAAATATGGCCATTTCACTTACTAGTGTATTCCATGACTACTTTTTATAAAAAACAAAAAAACTGAGCTAAATATCCACTCATCTAAATATATTAATATTTAGTTTCATTCTAGTACTGTTTGGATGGAGGGATTCTAGTTCATAGAATATGAATCCATAATTTGTAATCACAGATATTAGCTATTCTCTTTGAAAAAACTCATTTCTCAGCATAATGTTATGGAGTTTCAGAAATTTCAGTGTTATAAAATATTAAATCAAATAAAATTTGTATGATTACTGGATTTTAAGTCTTTTGGAATTATATAATTCAAAAATTTCCATTGCTTGAGGAAATTGTCACCAGTGGATTTTGTGCTTGGTTTTGTTTTAATCACAAGAACCATGGACTAACTCAATATAATCCTATTTCTTTTCCTGTATTTTCAGAATCAATTTTTATTAGATGATTTAATAAAGTCTTTTAAGTACTTTTTATTTTCAGTTCTGAAGTGGAATCATGATAGCTAAGCACTCTTGACCCCACAGAAAATGTTTTAAGTAGAATAAATATATATATTGGCTCACGTGGATATTTCAAATTTCAAATTGTCTTCCTGGTGTCAATAGTAATAGCACCCTCTTGTACAATTTAAAAATCCAAGGCTTGGCTAGTAAAGTATAATGCATCCTTATTATAAGGACAACCTAAATAAGTGATATAAAAGTACTTCAGACACCATAAAGAACTATAGAAAACATGGCATTATTCACTTTCATGTTCTCAATGATTCTTAAAATAAATCTGCTTTTCTTCATAAAAAGAATCTATGTTTACTGTGAAATTATAAAATACACAAGATATAAAAGCAAACATCAATTTAAACTTTGAACTTATGCACATCCCCAAGTCAAGCATAGCTAAAACTTTAGTGTATATATGTTCCTTGCATAATTTGGTTCATAGACTTATAGCTAATGGCTCAGACTCTAAAGGATGTACCAGATTGCCTTAATCCCATTTCCATCAGGTGACATGGACATATTACTTCTCTACTCTTTAATTTCCTCATATATAAATGGGCATATAATAGTACCTACCTCATTGATTATTTAATTGATATAATAATTATATCAATTAAATAACACCTACCAGTATTTGTATACTATTATGAGTATTTCCATCTGATGTTAAAAATTAATTAATTCTTAATTTTAGTGAGTCCACAAAATAAATATCATATGAATATAATATGGTTCTCTCAGACAAACATATTTGTCTTGAGCAAAGAGCATAAGTGGTACTTTTCCATAGAAATCTTGTGTAGTGATCATCAGAGACCACATTGTTCATTATATTTGAAGCAGTCTTAGCACAATGTGAAGTCTCCATCATAAAGTAAGTTCACGTTAAGCCCTAACTGGTTTTGCTCAGTACATAGAGCATTGGCCTGTGGACTGAAGGTCCTGGGTTCAATTCTGGTCAAGGTTACGTATCTTGGTTGCAGGTTCCCTGGCTCTGGTCAGGGTGCATACAGGAGGCAACCAATTTACGTGTCTCTCTCACATTGATGTTTCTCTGTCTCTCCTTTTCCTTTTCACTTTCTCTAAAAATCAATGAAAAAAATATCCTCAGGTGAGGATTAACAAAACAAAAAATTAAGTTCACTTAAAGAAAAGAAAAATCTCCCAATAATTTCTTGCCTCAGACCACATGACCCAGAAAGTATAGTTTTTCTTAAAGAGTATTTATCATTCCTTTCAGAATAACAGTACTATCCCTAATAGTTCTGTTTGAGGGTATCGAAAAGTAGAAAGCAAAAGAAAGATATTGATATTAAATGCTAATTTATGTTTAGAAGATAAATATTCTCTCCAATTAACCAAATATATACTGGTAGACTATATATTTCTCTATTAATCTGTGTACTCATTTTTTTAAAATATGTTTTATTGATTTTTCACAGAGAGGAAGAGAGAGGGATAGAGCTAGAAACATCAATGAGAGAGATGCCTCTTGCACACCCCCTACTGGGGATGTGCCTGCAACCAAGGTACATGCCCTTTACCGGAATCGAACCTGGGACCTTTCAGTCCTCAATCCGACGCTCGATCCACTGAGCGAAACCGGTCCCGCTGTGTACTCATTTTGTACGGATAATCCAAGCTTAGGTATGTGTACATGAATTGCAGGAACAGAGTGTTCGACACAGTAATGGTCTTGCTAAGTGTTGCAGGCAAACTACAGACTTTTTTCCCTCACTTACATTACTCTTTCCAATGTTGAATTTTTATTTTTTTTCAATGTTGAATTTTTAAATAAAAAGTACAGATAGCTACTTGCATTACCATCTAAAAATAGTACTAATGTCAATAGTAATGACATTGGACTAAGTATTAACAGGAGATTACTTAAAACAAAACTGGTATCTGATCACTCAATGTCTATGTACTGAGTAAAGAACAATTAATTGGAAATTGAATCATCTTCACACATCAGTGATTTGGCCCATGAGGAAAGTACAAAGAACTCTTCAGTTAATCACTTTCCTAAAACCAAAATATCCACCAGTTTCTATAAACTCTAGGACTTCACCATTTGAAAACCATTATTCTTAATATGAGGAAAATAAATTAAGAAGTATATTATTATCTCACAAAAAAGAGATGACTTATCTACACACAGATATGTTAACTTTAAAATTCTTATTTTTATGCAGGGAAAAGTAAACTCTAAACA